GTGGCGTGGCGCACGATGCACCGTGAGCAGTGCGTCCCGCCGCGCCATGAGCCGCGAGCGGTCGCGCAGTCCAGCAGCGGAGAGAAGAGCGCCAATATTCAAAACCAGACCAGCACTAGCTCGGGGAAGCAGTTAGGGGATGGTATGGTCACGGACTAACGAACAACCCTAGTGACGGTTTGCGAGCGTCGTTAAAACCCTCCACGAACTTGAACCCTATGACGCCGAATCTGTGTGGAGTGTGTGAGGGAGAACCACCCATCCCAAGAGGTCGCTCATATATTTGTTTCTGGGAATACCGTACCGCATGCACGCATGCATGTGTGCGGGTGGGCTTGCCTAAAGACTCTCACCACACCACGGCGTCTTGTAGCCCCGGGCGAATAGGCAACCTGCCCGCACGCCCGCATTGCGGTACAGCATACTAACAAAGGAAGGGCGGTGTCACCACCTAGTTGGGTCAGCATGCTCTATCGTTGCAGGCATAATGGCACATGTGGTGTTTGAGTGAGTGAGTGCACTCGCTGCCCGATCGGTTGGTAAAAGCACCCATGCGTTTGAATCCTCCGCAAAGGCAGCAGGCCCTCGGCGACCCATCCAACACCAGGCCGCGCAGCTCAGCGTCACGTCGTCGCGTCACGCTGTCCCGTCCCGGGGTGGTCCCCCTCCCCCTCCCCACCCCCCTTACCCATCTGCTCACTGAACCTCCACTTTACTGCTCGAGTAAAGAACCCGCGCGCAGGCTCAGTGACGGAATCATCCTCCTCGGCGGATCACTTTCTCCCCGATAGCGGCACACAAAGACGAGCAGCAGCAGCAGCAGGACGACAAACGATTCGACGATGATGAGACTCGTTTCATTGAAACAACAACAATAACAACAACGAGTGGCTGGTGCAGAGAGTTGCAGGAACGGCGCGCGCCCCCTGCTCCGCGCCCATGATTGACCCTGTGGCCTCCTTCTCGTCCTCCTTCTCGTCCGCGTCGTCCCGTTCCGACCGGTGGCCGTTGATGCGCGAGCTCTAATTGCGCGTCCCACACGGTGGCCCCTCTTCTTGTTATCACCGCGTCGCCATGCGCCGGTGCCGTAACGGTCCAGGGGGTCCAGGAGGGCGTGGCCCCCGGCGCACCCTCTTCCCCGTCAGGACCCCGCTGAGGACGAGTATGCTGTAAAATCCGGGGTGTCCCACAGGTAGGCGACAAAGTCGCCTGACCCGCAAAAACTAGGCGACTTATGTCGACCATCTGCTGGACAATTGCTTTCTGTTCTTCCGGGTAATTGCATTGTATGAGTCCATAGGCATTCCACCCGTTGTGCGCCCATGCAATTGCCCGGGAGGGGAGACCAGAGGGTGTCCAGCGGATGGTCGACATAAGTCGCCGAGTTTTGCGGGTCAGGCGACTTATTTGTCGCCCACCTGCTAGAAACCCCGGATTTACTAAGTGTAGGCGCAGGCGCGGTTACGTCCGTCTGACGCGCAGGGGGAGATTCGCTGTGGGTTGCCTACGTTCAGGGGTTTTGTAGGACACATTACCTCCTACCTACCCCATAGGGCCGACCGCCGCCCTCCCCCCCTTTTCCTATAAAACCGCGCACCTGAGTAGACGGCGGCGATGAGAGCGGGAGATGTATGGAGGGGAAAATGAAAGAAAAGTAAAGTGCATAATGGGGGGAGTAGAGGGTGCGGCCCCCAGGTAGGCGAGCCAAGGGTCAAGGACTTGCTCCCGCCTCCCTTCCGCGTTCTCTTTCGCCTTTTGTCTGCCCGTCGTCTCCCGCCCGCACTCCACCTGCCGCCGACCTGCACTGGCTGTGCCGCGCCCCTTCATGTTTACCATCGTAAATCTCAGTACACCTCATGACAGCCGGTGGTGAGCTCAATGCCTTATGTCCCCAGCCCCACCACTGAGTCTCAGGTCAGGGATGACTGTACAAAGCTCACCAAAAAGCTAACCCCATCTGTATCTGCGCCCGTCTTTGATGGAGCACGCCTGCGCACGGCGAGGGGCAAGACGCTGCTGTAGTTCACTGAGATGATTTTTCGCTGCGGGTCGCGACTTCTCCTCTTCTTGCCCTTCGTGCTCTCGTTTCTGTAGATTTGCGCCCAGCCTCGGCCGACGCCCCCCCCCCTTTCCTTTCCCCAAAGCCCCGGGGCCCCGAGGTTTTTTATTTTCATCTTTTATTTCTTTCTCTTCTTGCTCCTCTTCGATTTGGAGATGCCCTGCCTTCTCCGCCTGCCGCCATGGCGGCCTGCAGGCCAGGCCCGCGGGCCCGACCCCGTTGGTTCGACCGAACTGAGAACTGAACGGCCCGGTCGACCCGGCCCGGCGGCAGGTCGCTGGGGTCTCTTCTGCTCATTCTCATTCTGCTCGTGCCGTTGCAGTGCAGTTCGCTGCAACCCCCTCCTGTGCCTCCCCTGCAGGCCACTTCTGCTGGTCCTGCGGGGACACTGGGCGGAAGTGGACGTAGCGTGACTAGAGACCCGACTCGTCTCCTTCTCGCTTCGCGGGGCTCACCACGCCTTTTTATGTATTTGACCATTTTATCCCATGTGTGAAGAGTCATTCCGTTTTATTTCCCTTATCCGTTTCCTGCTTTGCTGAAATAAAGTGCAGGAGAAAGAAATTCTTGTTGTTGGGGGCATTGCTATTACGTGATGTACATAATCTGGCAGTCTTCAAAAACAGAGGGTTAAAGTCAAAATTGCGCTAGGTCGAATTCTGACTTTCCGTCTTGAAGAGTTACATCCACCCACCATGGCAGACCTTAGAAGTGCCGTTGTGAGGTCTGCTTGCAAGGTAAAACTTCACCAAAGCACAAGTGATGAAGCAGGAAAAGAGGCGGAAAGGACCTGGAGGACCGTGGACTGTTGGTTGTGGGACCTTCACATAGCTTCACAATGAACAACACGCCGCGTACAGAGACAAGACGGGCAGGGGAGGGGGGGGGGCAAGGGAGGGGAGCAGGGCTGAAGACGCGTACAAGGCGGCCTTTAATGTGCGTATGCATTATTGGGACACGGACGCGAACAGTTACAGGCGCTGCAACTTGGATAGGAACGCAAGGTGCCACTTCGCGAGTATTGTGCCCGCCACGCCCCGCCATGCCACACATAGTCTTCATACGAGGCGCCAGTCGGCCGCGCCGCGCCAGCCTGCCGGTCCACCTGTAGCAGGCGGCGAGCCAAGCTCCTAACGGAACGTCCATCGGAGCACAAGGGGGCATGAGAGGAGGGGGGGGGGGGTGTTCGTTCCGAAAGGGGCGTGGTGCAGTGTGGCGGTGGCCCCGCGGTATAACCGTGCACCGGGGCACACGCACACCACGCACATGGTCGCGCGCTCTAAGTTAAAACTCGGTAAAACTTCAGCAACCCCCCCGAAATTCATTGTTGATACATTTTGGTGACGTGAGGGCGTCTGCTGAGCCTCTGGCATCCTCCTGAGGGGCCCGGAAGGGCAGGAGAGGAAAGAGAAGGGTCTATACGCGCGGCCAGCGGCGGTCCCGGCGGCAGGTCTCCGCGCGGCGCCCGCGTCCTGCACGGGTCATTTGCACATGCAGGCACGCACACGCACACTTGGCAGCGGCCTGCTTGCCGTCCTAACGGTTGGCGCCCATCCCCGCCCCGCCCGCACCTCCCTCACACACCTTCCCCGACATGGCAGGGCGAGGAGTGGGTTCTCGGATGCATTCGGAGCAGCTCTGCAGCAGCCTGATTACGGTCCCCGCTCCCTGCGGGGTGGGGCCCGGGGCCCCCAAGGCCGTCCGGCCGCTGCTCCGCTTCGCATCCTTCGGCATCCTCGGGGCCGGGGGCCGGGGCCGGGGGGGGCCTTTACCGCTAGATTTGGGAGGACTGCGAACGCCGCGTGAGGTGTCGTCATAACAGGGCCAGTGGGTCGCCTCCACTCAGGGGAGTGGGCGCGGAGCGCGGGGCGCGCGGGGCTCGCGACGGCGCCTAGGAGGCTAAACACGGCGGCTGGAATGCACGGGCCTGCGCCCGCCCGCCCGGCGGCGGCCCGTCCACACCCGCGCGTTCAAGTCGCCGGCGCGCCACATCGCCCATGAGGGCCGCCTGGCCGAGGGCCGGGGCGGGGCGGGCCCGGGCGGGCTGACACCCCTTTGACCCGGCCGCCCGCCGCGCCCTGCCACGCCCTCGTACGGTACCCTTTATTGCCGAGACAAGCCGAGGCCCTTGGGCGGCGGCCGTCGGTGGTCCCCCTGGGCGGGGCCTGCGGGGCCTTGCAGCGGCCTGCGGGGCCTTCGGGCGAGCGCCCCGGGGAGGCGAGACTAAAGGGTGTGATCCTTACGGGAACTCGGCCCCGAGGCCGCTATGGAGGGGCATAGCCAGGGGAGGAGTGAGGTGTGAGGGAGGGGGAATGCGCCGCCCTCAACCTCACGTCGTCTGGAGGTCTGCCAACGTCCCGAACGCCAGAGCGATCGACTCCGGAGTTGTCCAGTGCTACTCCAGGGCTCCGGGGCGTCGTGGTCGGTCGTGTGAGGCTCGTCTTGGTTCGGCTCGGACCTGAGTCTCTTCGGCTTGGCTCTCCCGACCATCCTTCTTTCTCCCGTCCTATCCGCTCCGTTGACGCCTCCGCCACCTTTCTTCTTCGCCTCCTCCAACTCCGTCGTTCGC